GCCATGAAAAGTTCTCTTTTTTTCTTATCCAACATTCAATTTTATTTCTTATCTAAACATTTCATGAGTATGTTTCGTAGATTTTCAGTTTTAAAGAGAGAGATTTCAAAGGGTTTAAACTTTAAAGTTATTAATTTTCTCTGTAATTTATTCCGAATTGATATTTTTTTATATACTAAAAGTTTTTGCTTAACTATTAAATGACAATGTTATACCAAATAATCAATGGAATAATTGGTTGTACTTATGAATTTTTTGTTGATGAAACATAGAAAGCATAACCACTACATTTGTGAGATCTCCCTTATTGGCACAAGCGGTAGCCATGAGAGAAGTAGTCTCCTATTCTTTGGAGAAGGTACAAGAAACTGAGATGAGTCCGACTCATCTCAACTTATTAATGCTTTGAAGACATAAAAAACATTTCAAAAGTCTCTTTGAAGACATAAAAAGTCTCTTTGAAAACATAAAAGGCCTTTCAAAAGCCTTTAAACTATTAGCCGGTCGCTTAACGCAAGGATGGATTGCTTAGCAAAACAAGCTCTTAGCTTGATGTATGTTCCCTCAGGATGAAATTGAATGAATGAAAATTACCGTTTGCTAAAAAAAAAACATAGAAAGCAAACAAAATTTTGATTTCATTTGGTTTCTTTTCTTTTAATATGGACTTTATAGGGTACTTCAATCTGAAATTCGGTTCACGTGGAATTTTTTTATTTACTTTGTTTACAAAAACGTGTTGAAACTTGAAAGTGATATTTTCGTTATAATATCTTTTATCGTTATTTTTTGTAACAAAAATATTTCGTAAAATTTTGCTAAAAACTCTTATCATGTTGTGCTAAAATCTAATATATGTTACGTAAATTGAATATTTTAATTGAGCTGATAACAACTACAATATGTATAACGAGTATATATTTCCAACAATCTCTATGTTTTTTCTTATATACAATTGAGATCATCCTAAATCGAAAGTTAAACTAATTTATGTAATCTTTATAAGTATGGGTATGCTATGTAAATTGAATATTTTAATTGAGCTGATAACACCTACGATATGTACATTACGAGTATATTTCCATCAATCTCTATGTTTTTTTTATATACAATTGAAATCATCCTAAATCAAAAGTTAAACTAATTTATGTAATCCATATAAATACGAGTGTTTTGTCAACTAAAACAATTACGGACAGCCAAGTAACACAATTAGATAAGTCGACGCTTAAAAAGATTTGTTCTCGAGCCTTAATCATCATGGAAAATCCTAAATAAAGATTTGTTCTCGAGCCTTCATCAATAAAGCCAAACAATTCGTCCACTACTACTTGATTTATTAATCTCTATTGTTTCCAACAACTATCATTGACTCTTTGTAAACCAAGACATCTATGTATATAAAGGAATCTACAAAAACTACATATCGTCGTTATTAAACCGGGTTTCGAAAATTACAATATATATATATGTAGAACCCTTAATAAATTAAGAGATACAATCATACAATAACTGAATCGAGCCTTTTAAATAATAGTAAAAAGGTCCGAATTATCTTAAGCAAAACTATAAATATAGAAACGGGTGCACACAAAAATATCGACCCGATCAATACAAAAATACAACACACACATAGATCTTAGTTTTCGAAGACACTAAAAGAGCTTCGAACCTCAACGAAGTAACTCT